AACAGTCTTGGAAGACCCTGAAAGGTTTCTCATGTGCTTGTTCAAATTTATAAAATATATTTGCAATTCAGAGACACAGTTTTGGGCCTAAATTCATCTCTAGACTGCAAAGGGCTTACACAGGATTTACACACATTCTGAAATACTTTATGAACTATTGGAGACAGGTGGAACAGATCCCATCAATAGCTGCATGTCCTGAGGCTGTGCATTCCTAGAACCCAGTCCTTTGAAGTGGTAAAAACACTCGAGGACTTCACAGAAGTGAGCTCAAGGCATCAACCCACCTTAAAAAAAGAGATCGTGAGAGTAAAGCATAAAGGTGGTAATTGTGCAAAACAAGAAAAGTACCAAAGAGATTTGGCTTTTCATTGGTGTTTTTTTTAAATGGAAAATTTTAATCCTGACATAGAAAAAAAATGTGATAAACAGAAGAAAATTCAAATAAATTACAAGGCTAAAATTATGCACATAACTGTACCATCTTATCAATATTTTCTCTAGAAGAAAACTGACTTGATGCCATTATAACCCCTCTTTGAAACACACTTGCTGTTTTTCCTTATTGCCATAATATTATTTGGGTTTATCAAAGTAGCTACTGGTTCCTCTCCTGCAGTGTTATCACTGGTTAATAAAGTTCATTGCCTTAAAATCCCAGAATTACAGCCCTAAACTCTACAAATACATTTCTATGCCTAAACATTTGTATATCCTTAACTCCACCAGTGTGTGCACACATGAATGGACATGAGCAGAATTGAGTAAGAGAAACCACAACACACCTAATTAGATGAGGGAGCCTCCTAAAATATTGTCCTAAAGACAGTGGGAACTATTTTGGGTGAAGGGATGTCAGTGGGAATTGTTTCCTCTCTGTTTAGACTCTATTAAATACACTACATTCTGATGCAATATTCTTATTTAGTGTTTGATACCAAAAAAAAATTCAACTGCAGGTAAAGTAAAATGAAACTTTACCTGATCAAGTCAATCTTCAGGATGAAACAAGCTCACAAAGACAGAAGTACTCTGTCCTTTCAACAGATAAGACATTATCTGAATGATTTGAAATGATACATCCTCTGACAAAAAGACTGTAGCTGTGTATTCAGAACCAACCCTTGTTGTACTTCAAACACACAGACATTGCACATATACAAGGCAGTAAGAAATTTTTAAAAAGTCAAACATGGAAAGTGGGCTTGGTAAAGAGACTTTCCCAGTCAGGACCTCCAAGTGAGGAAAAGAACATCTAAAGAATTCCTGACAGTCTGATCCTGGTTTTACTGAAAATCTATGATAAAACCTGCCATCGACTTCATTTATGCTGGAGCAGAAATTCCAATTATTTTCTAAACCCTGTGTAATCAACAGGGTAAGATGTGTATTTTCTGAGAGCAAGAGAACTTTCGAAGTGTAAAACTTATTGAAAGGGTATCTAAAGGGCCTAGAAAAAGGTTTTAAAACTTCGTATGAAACTTCATCTGGGAGTGATCCTTCTCAGAAAGGGAAGGGACTTTAACAAAAAAAGATTATTTTCATATGTTACAAGCTAAGCCACAAGATTTTTTTTAATACTCAACACATTTCATGTCTTTGTTTAAACGAGCAGTGATGTACAAGTAATTCTTATTACAGAAGAGCAGAAACATGGCCAGAAAGCAAAACAGAAAAGCAGGAAAAAAGGCCAGGCCCCTGCTTTAATGCTAATTTATTTTGCTTTGTAAATTAGTTGTGACATCTATTTTCCACTGGCCTACATTGTCTGAGGTTTTGAGGCCTATCTGTCATATTGAGGCAACAGACCCTTTTAACACTTCACTTTGCTTTGATATGCACTCTTGTCTCTTCCTTCTCCCTCCTTTCTTCAGGAGTTATATTGCCGGAAAGGGTGATGATTTTCACAGCAAATAAAGAGGCCTTCTCCCAGCTTTATTGTCTTCAGAAGAAATACTCTGTGAATTTTATGACCAAGGGGAATGGGGAAAACTACTCCTTTTTCTCCACCCCCTCAAATCATGGTTATATTTGCTGATTATAGTGAGGCCGGAATAACCTTGTTGAATTTTAACTTGTTTTCAAAGATTCCCTCTAAGCCCTCAGTTTACAAGGAACCTGAATATCTATACTATTGTTAGCATTAGAACTATCACTGAGGGCAAATATTTCAAAGCCAACGATTTGTACTATGAAAAAAAAAGTAAACTTAGTTGGATGATTTAGTTCTGCAAATTTAGGCAGGAAAATCTTCTATGCTGGACGTTGAAGTGGCATAGGATTGGGAAAATATCCCTAATCATGTGTATTTCAGCTGTGTCTACCTTCAGATAAAAATATCCCAGTCTGTCCTCAGTGTCGGTCCAAAATTAAAGAGAACTGAGGAAAAAATATTCCTTCATCTATTTCTGTCCCTTTTTCCTCTGCTAAGATGAAAGCGTCTGACATTTGTTTAGGGCTTGTAAATTCCAAACCAATTGGCTTGTGTTTCTGAATGTGAAAGGGGTTCTTGATAAGATCTCCTTGTCGCTCCTTTGTGTGGCGTGTGCTTCATCTTAACACCTCAATGGATTTTAGGGAACCACTTTAAAGGAGTCTTTGTCCTACAGTTTGTCCCAGAAAACTCACATCAAAAAAAACTGGGAAGATCAGAAGAAAAAAGGAAAACTATCTAGTTGGCTGTTGAAAGTGCAAGGAGAACAAATAAGCTGAAAACGGATCTCTCTGGATTATTGTTATATGAAGAACTGCTTTAAAATTATATTAAATGAGAGATACATTCTAAACATTTAGTAATGCTTCTCTTAACAGCTTTTTGCCAATATATCAAAGAGTATTTCTTTTATACATTAGAGAGAGGATGATCCTGAAATCCTTTTACAAGATTTTATTGCCTCATCTTACAAATTGTCAAGTACCTCCAACTCTAAAGGGAAGCCCAGCACAGAGTACCCTCAGGAATATCCTACAGGTACTCAGCACCTTGCAAGACTGGACCCCTCTGAAAAAGTAAATGAAATTATTATTGAACTTCTCGGTTTATCCTATGGCACGAAAGAAAGGAAAAGCATTTCTAGTAGGACATATCTTTGTGCTAGACAATCTCCAGAAACTCTGATAAAGAATTAGGCCACGGTACAACTGCACAAATTGTGACTGAAGCTCAGTCTTGAAATCCTGGGTGTTTATGCTCTCATAGACACAGAAGTCACTTCACTGAGCACTGAAATGAAACCCCTTTGAGATTAATATAGCCAGCACCAATTATGTACTGCTTTTAATTATTTAAGATGCTTCAGGGTGTTTATCACTTAAGAACTTCACATTTAACTGTATGTTTACAGAGAGGGGGGAATAAAGAGGGAAAGACAGTTATGGTAACCAATACTCTGTTACTTCACCCTGCACCTCTGTTCCTCCTCTGTACCACAGCAAACCATCCCATACAAGTATTCTGTAGTTTAATTAATGTCTGTGAATTGCTTGAGATGTTTGCAAGCTGCTATGGAAAATCCAACTCAATATATGAATCATCTTTCTTTCCTAACCAGGTAAAACAAGAACAAAAGAAAAGTACCGGGTTGTTTACACAGATCACCAGAGGCTGGAATTAGAGAAGGAATTTCACTGCAACAGATACATTACAATCAGGAGGAAGTCAGAACTCGCAGCAAACCTGGGACTCTCCGAGAGACAGGTACAGAGAGCACCCTCACTCAGGTGTGCCCACAGTGCCCTGGCACTGCCACTGCCAGGGGACACAGCAGCAGCCACCCCTGCCTCTCTGCATTTGACACACAGAACCCACTGCACAACCCCATGGTTATTAACAGGCTCATCTGACAGAACCCTCCAGTGATATGGAGGAATCAACTTCTACTTTAAATTGTAGGGATTCTTACATTCTAGCTTGCTAGCCAGCTGGAATTTAAACACTTTAGCTTAACAGGATCTTACTTATGGTCCCAGTAGTTACAACATTCATAATTTTATTTCTTCTTGAAATCACACCAAATAATGGCCAGCAGAAAATCTAAAGCATTTGATATATTTCAGCTGGAAGACAAGAAAGTCAAAACTCAATCCAAAGAGATACCTATGGGTTTTTTTGGTTATAAATATATTGTCACCATTTCCACAGGCCACATTCTTCATCTGTCAGAATTCAGAATATTCAGGGGAGTTTTACAGCCTTGGATTCTCAAGCCAGGATCTCCTTTTGCCACACATATGTGTAGCCAAGACTACCCATCCAGGCAATGTTTAAGTGCATACTTGGATCCTTGCTCCTTTGGAGAACAGCTCTGCCTTCACTCATATCTAGTACAAATTTAATCTGTCCTGGATAAAGCCAGGCTCCTGAGCAGGACACAGCTACGTTAGCTGTGTTCATACAGACACTAGAGGAATTCAGGATGAGAATTCCCTAAAATCCCTGTGTTGGAGAGCATCTTTCCAAGCACAGCTCTGTGCAGTGTGTGGATATAATAACTGCTGGATCCAAGCCTCCAGAATTGCAATGGTTTTGCTACAGCTGGAGGAGAAGGGCAGATTTGATGATACTGAATTAGTCATCTCATTTAAAAACCAGATTATCACCCCGAGGTAAATATAAACCAGAGATCTTTCTTTTTAGAATTTTACAAGCTTTTGTTCTTTCTAAATATACACATTCAGGTCTCTTAAAATGTTCCTCTTTTCAGTGGCCTCCTCTCATTCTGCACTCAGTCTGTGGAAGGGCATGGACCAGAGAGGGACCAATGGAGGCTGGAAGCATTGGAATGCAGAGACAGTCACTGGCATTTTAGGATCAAGCACTGGAATTTTATAAATATATTTTAGTGCAGTGATGTTCAGTCCAGACTCAAATAGTATAGAGAATGAACTGCACAGACTGGGAGTGCTCCCAGGCAGGAACAACAAAAACCAAGTTTATCATGGATGGACTAAAGTCTGTCACACAGGAGGATAGAGATGCACTGGAAAATTTTCAGAGAACTGAAGTTATGAGAGATTTGCAACCTCCACCTTAATGTTATGCAAGCTGGCTGATTTAGAACACAGCCATGCCTGGAGTCACCAGTGATCCTGTAGAAAATCAGCAGTTTCCTTTTACAGAACTGCTGCTCCTAATGCCACCCCATTTTTAACTTGGTAAAGTTCCTTCAAGTATAATGTAGACAAAATACATAATTGATCTGCATTTCCACAAGACAAAGCTAAATCCTTCTTCATGCCAATACCCGCAAGGTAATAAAAACAAATATAAAACAGTGAGATTTTTAATACAAAGCAAGGATACAACTTTTATATTGTATTGTATTCAACACACTTTAAAGGCTGTAATAAATACTGTGAATTAAGAACACAGTTAGCAAGAAGGAAAACACAAAAGGAAAACAGAAGTTCCTCCTCATTCACACTTTCACATAAGGAAAGAGAATAGAGATACTTAAAGTAGATCTTAAACAAGTCTTTCATCTGCACAATAAGCCTGGGAAATTGACTGTCTTTAAGTAATGCTGATAGATCTATTTATACATATAACAGTAAATCTGTATCTGTAAAATACATATTTAGGTATACATTAAGTACACTTATTTATGTATATAAAAATACATGTTTATATATTACAGTTATAAAAGCAATCAAAACTTTTTAAATACATAAGAATATATGCACACACAAAAATCATTCACAACATAAATTAAGAAAAAGAACCCTCACTACTTGGCTTTGAATTAATGTGTAACATAGATAATAAAGATATCATCACAATAATCCATAATTGCATCTTCCTAAATTATGACACTGGCAAAGCTGAAATGATTAACTCTGTGGCATCTGAGTCTCAATGAGTTCATTGATTTCTGTGTTCCTAAATATAACACAGCATGTTCACTACACCAGGCCCAAGAATAAAAGAAATCAAGAAAGAATGAATCAATTTTCCATTGATTATTATGCCAAAAATTAATACAGAATAATGCAAAAACTTTTCACTGCACAAATTCAGTATTTTGGTTTGTGAAGGGTTTTTTGGTTTGGTTTTAGCTCTGGGGCTTTTTTCTTCATAGCTTTTTGTTTGTTTGCTTTGGGTTGGGGGTTTTTAAATAGTGTTTTTGAACTTACCTACCTTTCCATTGCTATAATTACTGTAAAAGTTGAGCAGCACTTTGAATTAATCAGGTATCATTTATAATGCCCCAGGTGAAAATCTGGTTCCAGAATCGCCGAGCAAAAGAAAGAAAAATGATCAAGAAGAAAATCTCACAGTTTGATGGCAGCGGGGGCTCAGCTCAGAGTGACTCTGGTTCACTCAGTCCAAATGAACTGTCAAATTCTCTGTTCCCACCACCACATGGAATAAATGGATTACAGCCTAATGACATTCATCAAGTCATAGTTTCAGAATGAACAGAAGGGGAAACAAACAAAACAGGAAAAAAAGAAAAAGCAAGAATGGATTTTGCCACCACTGACATCTCCCACCTTGGAAATTCAACTTTTCAAGGGACCATTTTCATTTATCTGCCTTCAGGGTGCTGATTTCTAAGCAGGAAATCTGAGCCTATAACCAAAATATTTTAATTACTGCAAAAATCTCAGGGACTTTGTGCTGCTAAGATTCATCTCTCGGTATCTTTGCTAGCAAGTAATTTGCTTCAGACACTGACACAAAGAATGATGCAGCTGAAGATTCAATACAGGTAGTTCTAGTCTGATCATACATATACACAGAAAACTAAGAGAACTGATGATAAAATAGAGTCCTATTGCAGAAAATATAAAAATCCGGGTGTGTTTGGTTTGTTCCATTTATATAATTAGAGGAAACCGTAGATGTTAATAAATATTTACACTTAAATGGACTGAAAAGAATGCTACTTTTCAAAAACAGCAAAGCCATTTAAAACACTTTTAAATGCTCAAGGAACATAACAATGTTGCTATGCCAACATATTGCATTTAATTAAATAACACAGATCATCTCTGCCCTATGGAATTGTATTCAAGCAATAGTTACAGATTCAGAATATACCAAACCTGCCAAGATTTGTTCCACTGTAAGAAATGTAGCAATTTCTCACATGCATTAGGAAATGCCAGATAACTTGGAAGAGAAGTATTACCTGAATCTTCTAGGACTGCACATACTGTTGCTCAAAAATCCATACACAAGTGGAATGGAAACAGAACTGTTACTACAAGCAAACCACCAACAAGCAAATAAAGAATTTGCTTGACATCTTCAAACATTTGAAGTGAAACAGGAGCAGTCTCAGGCCACTGGTTTTATCCCTTACACTTATGTGGGGCTGAAGGCAACAACTCTCCCAAAGCAGCTGAGAGGGTATTTTGAAGCTGTCACCTGCAGCTGAGCAATCACAACAGAAATGTTCACTTCATGGGCACTCCTGAAAGTGCACAAATTAAGGACACCATCACAGTAGGGTTTGCTTTAATTACTGCTCCGTGCTGGCAAGTGAGAAAGTAGCAATGGTATCTGCAGGACAAGTGATGAGTCTGGAAAAAGCAGAAAGAAAACCCAAAGCACTAAAAAAATCCCCAAGCCCTTCAGTAGCACTGTTCTTTAGAATGTCTTAATAAGACCTTTTTGCTGGTATACAAGTGAACAGCTCTATTGGGAAAATTTAATATTCCTGAAAATGTCAAGGGTAGCAAAGGTAATAAAAAGGGAAAAAAGCAGAAGCGAAAAAGAAAATAGCATTATGAAAATCATGCATCACTTATTTCACCCACATCAAACTCTTGCTCTCAGAAACAGCAGAAAAAATTCTGCTTTTCTTTGTGTCAATGAGCCTTCATAATGCACCATGGACAGAACTCAAAGCTCTCATCATCTGCATCCGAAACACTAGAAAACAAACTTGAGGATTTGCCTCACTATTCCCCGTTTATTTTAAAATAACTCTGTTACAGTAACTCCATGACAGCAATTCTGTTGGAAGTTACAAGAATAACACTCATCAGAACTAAATTCTGAATGATATCATTGTAGACATAAATGTCTCAAACTAAACTAGGAAGAAATCCTGTAACACAGATTAAGACCTTACTCACTGTAAACATTTTGTGGGTGGTTCCCCAATATATTTTCTAGTCATCTCCTATCATATGGTACAAACAAATGGGTGTATTCTAATGCAAACAACTGTAAACAGAAAAGCTTGTGTATGTAAATAGTTATAAAACTCAGCCCAATGAGAAATCGAGACTACATCTGCATGGCTTTAACTCAGGAGCTCCTAAATCCACTCGCTGATGTTCCAGTGGGATCACAGGGACATTAAGGAGCCAGAGCACGTTGTGGAACATGCACACACAGAGCTGCTTCTGTTCACATTCACAGAAATGCACTTGTGACACACACATGCCTCTTTTTCTCTGCTCTTCAGTCACATAAATCCACATTTTTTCCGTGGGAGAGAAGTTTCCCCAGTTCCACCAGTCCCTCTACCTGGGTTGTCCTTCTATACAAGAAGGATGTAGAATATAAAATAATCTCTCAGGAAACTCAGACTTTATATATGCAAGAAAAAAGGGAAGTGAACCTTTACCTCAAATCAGCAGAAGGGCCATTTCTATGGAAACCAGGAGAGGGCTTTGTGAGGCTTAGCAGTGGCACAGAAACGGAGAGAGAGAAAACTTGTAGTTTTCAGATTTTTTTTTCTCTGATCAGTTTTCACATCAACAAGGAGAAATGGCAAGTACAGCTATAACACACAGCACACCATTCATTGTGTATTAGAAATGCATTGCTTCAGATTTTCCCCCTCATTTCTGACAAAAGTGAAATGAAACACAGTTATTTACCAGGTTCACAACCAACACATTCAAATCGTCATCTTGCAGATTCTAACCAAGCTCCGGGCAGTCGGGAAACACCAGCCTGCCCTGACAAACTGCTCACAGGAGCCACTGAAGCCTGCACTCAGAACAACCACAGCTCATAAAGGAATCACTCTAAAGGAACCCATTTTAATGTTTTTAGAGTTGGAATGGGATACAAAGCACCTCCTCTGGCATGTTTAATATCAGTCTTGTCAATAAAAACTGTTTTTCTTTTTCATGATCTTTATCCCGAATTTTATCCATCAGATGTGTTTTAAATGTATCCCAAGCATATGTTAATAAATATTTAGGGGAGAGTCTCTTTCATCCACTAGATAATGATCTCTAAGCCTACAGACTGGAATCAGATTATCTTTTCTGACTACAGTTAAGTCAAATAAGAAGTTATTCCCCTTATCTGCTGCTGTGCAGAACTACCTCCAATATGCATCATAACATCCCTTTAACCTCAGTGCAGTGGCACAGCTGTTTCTCAAAATAATTTAAGGAGAAAAATATTAAACTATTTTAGACAAATCAGGATATTTTTTAGTAAATTCTATCAGAAAGTAACTGCAGTCAGAATATCAGATCAGGAGGCTGCAAAGACAGAGAGGGGAAAAAGGCAAGCAGCTCAAAGAAAATCCTTTCCCTGCCTCTCACAAGCCTTAGACACTTTATCAGACTGCAGCTATGCCATGAGCCAGAAAACATCATCCCAAAATTGAGTACTTTGTGCTGGCACATTTCAGAGATCCATGAAGGACTCCAGGCCAGGCTGACAGGAGCCCATCCATGGTCATGCTCTGCATGGGAACACGAGATCAGCATGTGCACTTGGATGGAGACACCACAGACAAAGTCTTTGCTTTCCACCATTCCTGGGCAGCTGTGTTTGACTCTTCAGCATTGCTTCTGTGAAGGAGAAACTTCAGCAGATGTGATCAGCCCCTGTATTTAAATTTATATTTACATGGATGAAACGCTCAAGGCTATAAATAATATTTTTCAGTATTTATCTTTCTTCCTTTGAAGATTTCTCCAGGGACTTTAGTTATACTCTCCCCTAGCACTGTTAAGAAGTTAAAATAATAATAGATGAAATGCCATCCTTTGCACCCAGTGGGTCTCTTCCCCAAGCTCTCCAAGTGTCCTGTTTTTCACTGTATGTAAATAGAAAACCATGACACTGTTTGAATTCAGCTGGTTGACTGGTGGTTCCAGTTTGCAAGGTACTGAGCCCCTTTAACACCATGCTGATACCAAAAGAAATCTCTGCATCACACAACTGTCTAATTCCAGCAGCCAGCAAATCCCTTCTGACATTTATCTGAATCACCTCGATTCTTATCAGAATCCTGGGAGGTGCCAAAGCTTTGGCAGAACTGCCCTCCTCAGTCCCACTGTCCAGAAATACTTCAAGAAGGGCCTCTGGCACAAACTGCTCCTGCTCACACTCAGTGTAGCACCACAGTGAATTTGCTTTATTAATTAACTTCTAAATATTGATCAGTGGGAGAAAAGAAAGAAAAATACAGATGTACCCTTAGTTGGAGATAGCATAGACTAGAAAAGGGAAAGTAACTCATTACAAGAAATTTACAATATCAGTTTATGAAGACAGCATAATTTAAACCCCTAATTGGCTGTTTGCAATAGTCATCCTGGTCAAAAAAACCCTGGATCAGAAACTTGACAACCTCTGGAAAATGAGATTATTTTTGAAAATTGATCTACATCATTTTCGGTATAGGCAGCACAGAGCTGCAGACTCCTGCACAAAGCAAAAACCCTTCTAGACATTGCAAAACATTTTTATCACAAAATCAGTTTTATTGAACCTCACACACGACTCTTGACTTGCCTTTCTTACCAAATGAACATATCCACATTTGCCTCATGAGCTCCACATTTCTACCTCTGAACAAAGCAATGGGAAATTGCTGTGAGATGCAAATCACCTTGGAAAAAGAGTTTGCATTGATCAAGAATCATGAAGGTTTGTCCACCAGACTTATAATACATTCTCCAAACTCCAAGAGTATATTCCCATTATCCAACAACCTCTTCCTGTGTGAAATGAGGGAATTCTGGCAGCCCACCTGACATCACTTGTATATTCTTCCTCCTGAAGAATGCCTGTGTGGTGGTGATTTGTGTGGAACAAACAAAAAAAAAAAAAAAAAAAAAAGACTTTGGAAGAAGACTCAGAATCTCCCAGGCCCACATTAACATTCCCTTTCCATGTTCTCCCAACAGTGCTTTTATTTAATACTGTGCTTTGGTTTAACTCCTGGCTTTTCTGCTCCTTGTGTTTCATGCTCTATATAAAAACACTTCTGATTCCAAGAAAGGAAGTGATTTATGTGGATAAACATTACCAGACCATCATGCTTCCACAAATCTTTCCATTTTTATGGCATAATAGTTTCATCAAATAAACAGATCCTAAAGAAGCACTGAAAATGAAGCTTCTGTTTCTTCCTGTGAAGCCATAAAGTTTGCTAAGTCATGCTGAAAAAATTCCCTCTAGTATTTACTTCTCAAACCCAATACTAAAC